TTCCATCCCCCACCCTCTCTGCCAATCCCTCCACTGGCTTCCATCCCCCGCCCCTCTCTGCCAATCCCTCCACTGCCTTCCATCCCCTGCCAATCCCTGCACTGGATTCCATCCCTCTCTGCCAATCCCTCCACTGGATTCCATCCCCCACCCTCTCTGCCAATCCCTCCACTGGCTTCCATCCCCCGCCCCTCTCTGCCAATCCCTCCACTGCCTTCCATCCCCTGCCAATCCCTGCACTGGATTCCATCCCTCTCTGCCAATCCCTCCACTGGATTCCATCCCCCACCCTCTCTGCCAATCCCTCCACTGGCTTCCATCCCCCACCCGCCTCTGCCAATCCCTCCACTGCCTTCCATCCCCTGCCAATCCCTGCACTGGATTCCATCCCCTGCTCCATTCCCTGGCCCCTCTCTGCCAATCCTTCCACAGGCTCCTTCCTCTATCCAGTGTTATTACTGCGGTGCGTGATACACTTTCCCAGGTCCTGGACCATACAGGGACGCTACTTACTTGTCCAGAATGCGTCTCCTTTTTCCCGCTGCAAAGTTTTCCAGCTGTAGACTGGGCTGATTGATGAAAAGAACGGCCAGACTGAAGTACGAGTTCCACACCTAGAATAGGGAGAGGCAGAGCTGTGACCATCACCCACACACTCCATCATCCCCCCAAAGTCCATCACCCACACACTCCACCATCCCCACAAAGTCCATCATCCCCACACTCCATCATCCCCACAGTCCATCATCCCCACAGTCCATCATCCCCACATTCCATCATCCACACAGTCCATCATCCACACAGTCCATTACCCCCACAGTCCATCATCCCCACAGTCCATCATCCCCACACTCCATCATCCCCACACTCCATCATCCCCACAGTCCATTACCCCCACAGTCCATCATCCCCACAGTCCATCATCCCCACAGTCCATCATCCCCACACTCCACCATCCCCACAAAGTCCATCATCCCCACAGTCCATCATCCCCACATTCCATCATCCACACAGTCCATCATCCCCACAGTCCATTACCCCCACAGTCCATCATCTCCACAAAGTCCATCATCCCCACAGTCCATCATCCCCACAGTCCATCATCCCCACAGTCCATCATCCCCACAGTCCATCATCCCCACAGTCCATCATCCCCACAGTCCATCATCCCCACAGTCCATCATCCCCACAGTCCATCATCCCCACAGTCCATCATCCCCACAGTCCATCATCCCCACAGTCCATCATCCCCACAGTCCATCATCCCCACAGTCCATCATCCCCACAGTCCATCATCCCCACAGTCCATCATCCCCACAGTCCATCATCCCCACAGTCCATCATCCCCACAGTCCATCATCCCCACAGTCCATCATCCCCACAGTCCATCATCCCCACAGTCCATCATCCCCACAGTCCATCATCCCCACAGTCCATCATCCCCACAGTCCATCATCCCCACAGTCCATCATCCCCACAGTCCATCATCCCCACAGTCCATCATCCCCACAGTCCATCATCCCCACAGTCCATCATCCCCACAGTCCATCATCCCCACAGTCCATCATCCCCACAGTCCATCATCCCCACAGTCCATCATCCCCACAGTCCATCATCCCCACAGTCCATCATCCCCACAGTCCATCATCCCCACAGTCCATCATCCCCACAGTCCATCATCCCCACAGTCCATCATCCCCACAGTCCATCATCCCCACAGTCCATCATCCCCACAGTCCATCATCCCCACAGTCCATCATCCCCACAGTCCATCATCCCCACAGTCCATCATCCCCACAGTCCATCATCCCCACAGTCCATCATCCCCACAGTCCATCATCCCCACAGTCCATCATCCCCACAGTCCATTACCCCCACAGTCCATCATCTCCACAAAGTCCATCATCCCCACAGTCCATCATTCCCACACTCCATTAGCCCCACACTCCATCATCCCCACAGTCCATTACCCCCACACTCCATCATCCCCACAGTTCATCATCCCCACAGTCCATTACCCCCACAGTCCATCATCTCCACAAAGTCCATCATCCCCACAGTCCATCATCCCCACACTCCATTAGCCCCACACTCCATCATCCCCACAGTCCATTACCCCCACACTCCATCATCCCCACAGTTCATCATCCCCACAGTCCATTACCCCCACAGTCCATCATCTCCACAAAGTCCATCATCCCCACAGTCCATCATCCCCACAGTCCATCATCCCCACAAAGTCCATCATCCCCACAGTCCATCATCCCCACACTCCATCATCCCCACAAAGTCCATCATCCACACACTCCATCATCCCCACACTCCATCATCCCCACAAAGTCCATCATCCACACACTCCATCATCCCCACACTCCATCATCCCCACAAAGTCCATCATCCCCACAAAGTCCATCAACCACACACTCCATCAACCACACGCCATGGCCCGCACTCATCCCACACACTCCATCACCCACAATGTCCATCACCAACACAGTCCATTGCCAACACACTCCATCACATCTACAGCAAGATCTCATTGCTGTTTGTTGTACAAAAGTGAGACTTCTCAGGTCCGATCGATGTGTCTTTACAACCTTGGCCAGGCCGGATATATTACTGCAGGTTCAGGTAGTACTCACCTTAAAATCAAAGTCTCCTTCCCCGAAGTTCTTGTGTACAGCAGGGGACACGTACTGGACAGTCGTCACAATGATGCTGGAAATAGAGGCAAAGGCTGTTCATTATCATGTGCTAGAGACGTTTGCCAATAAAGCCCAAATCCAGCCAAAACTTGTAAAATCTAGAACGGTGAAGCACAAAGACCTGTGTCAGATTTTTATTTTTGACTGTGTCCTCATTGTGGAAATGTCCCTACACTTCCTGTCCTGATGTCAGAGCAGGAAGTTGGTGGAAATCTCCTCAATAGACTCATGGAATGAATATAAAAAACAAACAGAAGCTCTAACCCCTCTGCCCTCTGATGAAGGAAAAGTTTAGTCTGGAGCCAGCCTCTAATATAGTACAAATTAGGGTTAGGGTGCCCCAAAACCCGCGACAGGCTCTTACTTGCTGGCCAACAGCCTCATGACGGTCCAGTCTGGCGGGAAGACGCTCAACTTCAGCAGGTTACGAAAGACGCAGAAAATCTTCAGCAGGAATTCCTGAGTATAAAACACATGTTGGTGTTAATGGCGACTCACAACGTCACAAACTAACACCCCATTCACACCGAGCAGTTTATCGCGCGATTTCCGCCACGAAATCGCGCATATTTCCACGCGATATCGCTCTGCGGAGCTCGTCCAATGCATTTCAATGGAGCCGTTCACATCTCACAGCTCAATGTTGCCTGTAGCTCGTCGCTCGTACATGACCCTTTTTTTTTTGCACGGATGTCGCGCGATTCGGCTCCAATAGACTCTATGGTGTCGTGCAAAATCGTGAATTACCGGCGATATCGCGCTACTGAAGGGTCACTTTTGCACTGCGAAATGGAAGGAAAGAATGATGTCACATCAAGACCGCTGTTGATTGGTTACAGCCCAATGTAACAGGGACGAAGTCCCGCCCCCAAAAAAACGTGCTATGTAGCGCGATAAAATGTGCACCGTCGCTCAATATCGCGCAATGTAGCTCAAAGCCGCTCAGCGCGAAATTGCGCGGAAAAAAACGTGTCGCTCAGTGTTAATGGGGTGTATAAGAGACGACCAGAATATATATATATATATATTTTGTTTCCTTTCAGGGTCACTGGGGCTGTTCACTGCTAGTCCAAAGAACCGGGAGATGTACAGAGCATGCATAGGAGGGCCGATCACAATACAGATCACAATACAGATCACAATACGGATCACAATACAGATCACAATACAGATCACAATACGGATCACAGTATAGATCACAATACCATATACATTACAATAATAAAATGATATAAATGAAAACAGCCAATGGTTCTTGTATGTATCTGAGTGGATGGAGTTAATTAATGGCCATGGGTCAATGAGGGATTATATATTAATGGCCATGGGGAGTGGGGGTGCTACTCCATATCAATGGCCTTGGTTCTGGAATGGGATGTCCAACAAGCTCATGTAGGTGTGATGGGTCAGGTGTTCACAAACTTTTGGCCAGGTACCGTGCTTCAATTCTGGTTTCTTCTCCATCATTC